CATAATAATACAATATATCACACTCACAGTGGGGTCTATATCCCATAATAATACAATATATCACACTGACAGGGGGGTCTATATCCCATAATAATACAATATATCCCATAATAATACAGTATATCACCCTGACAGGGGGGTCTATATCCCATAATAATACAATATACCACACTGACAGGGGGGTCTGTATCCCATAATAATACACAGTATTAATACTCACAGTAATGTGTCTGAGTGTATAGCAGAGCTCCACAGCAATAATACTCCCAGTAATGTGTCTGAGTATAGAACAGAGCTCCACAGTATTAATACTCCCAGTAATTTGTCTGAGTGTATAACAGAGCTCCACGGCAATAATTCTCCCAGTAATGTGTCTGAGTGTGTAACAGAGCTCCACGGCAATAATACTCCCAGTAATGTGACTGACTGTATAACAGAGCTCCACAGCGATAATACTCCCAGTAATGTGTCTAAGTGTGTAACAGAGCTCCACGGCAATAATACTGCCAGTATTGTGTCTGAGTGTGTAACAGAGCTCTACGGCAATAATACTCCCAGTAATGTGTCTGAGTGTGTACCAGAGTTCCACGGCAATAATACTCCCAGTAATGTGTCTGTGTGTATAACAGAGCTCCACAGCAATAACACTCTCAGTAATGTGTCTGAGCGTATAACAGAGCTCCACAGCAATAATACTCCCAGTTATGTGTCTGAGTGTATAACAGAGCTCCACAGCAATAATACTCCCAGTAATGTGTCTGAGTGTATAACAGAGCTCCACAGCAATAATACTCCCAGTAATGTGTCTGAGTGTATAACAGAGCTCCACAGCAATAATACTCCCAGTAATGTGTCTGAGTGTATAACAGAGCTCCACAGCAATAATACTCCCAGTAATGTGTCTGAGTGTATAACAGAGCTCCACAGCAATAATACTTCCAGTAATGTATCTGAGTGTATAACAGAGCCCCACAGCAATAATACTCCCAGTAATGTGTCTGACTGTATAACAGAGCCCCACAGCAATAATAGTAATGTGTCTGAGTGTATAACAGAGCTCCGCAGTAATAATACTCCCAGTAATGTGTCTGAGTGTATAACAGAGCTCCACAGCAATAATACTCCCACTAATGTGTCTGAGTGTATAACAGAGCTCCACAGCAATAACACTCCCAGTAATCTATCTGAGTGTATAACAGAGCCCCACAGCAATAATACTCACCGTAATGTGTCTGAGCGTATAACAGAGCTCCACAGCAATAATACTCCCAGTTATGTGTCTGAGTGTATAACAGAGCTCCACAGCAATAATACTCCCAGTAATGTGTCGGAGTGTATAACAGAGCTCCACAGCAATAATATTCCCAGTAATGTGTCGGAGTGTATAACAGAGCTCCGCAGCAATAATACTCCCAGTAATGTGCCTAGTGGGAGTTGGCACCCAGACCACTTCAATGGGCGGAAGTGGTCTGGATGCCTGGAGTGTCCCTTTAAGTCAGCCTTTTTAAACATTATTTCTTGAAACCTGTGGCAGCACTATTTATAAACGCTGCGTTATCATTTAGTATCTGTTTGTCTAGAATGAGTTTGTAGTCAGCATTTATTGCAATACCACACGGCCATTAAATGGTTCTACAAGTGGACTTTATTCAATACACAGTGAATTGTGGAAATATGACAAAGAATTAAGACATTTTAGGTCAAACTAACCATTTTTATATATTGTCCAACTCAGCTGTTTCTCCTGTTAAGTTTAGACCTAAAATTGTCATGTGTGACATGTCATGATTCCCTTTTATTCCAGAAGTTTGGTCCTTAAGGGGTTAAAGGTACTTATATTAATAAATGGATTAAATGAAATGTTTGCACAAAACATGCAGCTATGTATGTGTTAAAGTAAGGGTTAAACTCAGATAGGAGCAATTATTAAAAATAAATAATTACAATGAAAGTTGTTAAAAGGGCTCAATGCATGTTTCTACAGAAATTGATTTAATAAGGGAATCAGGTTAAGGCTACCCAGCTGATTTCTAATCTACTAATATTGGTCTGATTGAATATGGCAGCTAAATAATCTCAGGAGATCCTCAGAGGGGCGTCTTCAGTACGTTTAGTAAAAGGCTTTCTCCCTCTCATATGATGCAGTGAGCAAAATGTCATGATTGTTCTAGGATTCATTTTATAAGTAAATCGGATTCCCATTGTTATACACAGGGCTGACTGCTGTACAAAAATAGGCTTAAAGGCAAAACATCACATCTGCTGAATTTGCACAACCCGGTAGGTAACAAAGATATTATGTTTATATGCATATAAAAAAACACCTTTATTTTAATTCTCTTTCTGCAATGTTATTCCAGGCTGCCATGGCATTTAATGCAAATTACCTTACACTCCCATGATGCAATGCTTGTGAGAGACGCTATATAAGAAATTTTTTTGAAGCACACTAACTACTTTGCCACAAAGCATCTGATGTAGTTCTAGGTTTGCAAGATCCACCATGTTTTCCTGCAAACGTATTGCTTACATGAAGTCTCTGAATGAAAAGTGCTTCCCAGAATTATGGAGCATTTAAACGTCACAGCTAGGAACTGGAGATATTATTCCGGAATAATTCCAGAAAATATGCTGGATCTTGCAGTCCCACGTGCAATGTAGTCTGAAATAAAACTTACTCCAGTTTTAAGTTTTATTGTATAATGCGTTCTCTTGTTTTCTCATTTTTGTAGCTGATTATGGACTACAGTTACCTTGCAAATACAGCCATGAAAAGCCCCGCCTTCCCACCGGAATGGGACTTAAGGAGTCGGGAACCTCTGATCTTCACACACTCTTACCATCCACTACCTTACAACCGTAACACGTTGGAAGAGGTGATTCAACAGGTCTTTAAAAGCCAAGGGTGAGCGATCAGACCTGGAAGAAATGGCAACTTCCTCAACCAATCCTTGGTGGCCCCTCTGACACATTGTCTTTGATTCACAATGTTTCAACACTTTGACCCTTAAAGCTTTTACTGGGTACAGCCACTCACTATACACAAAGAGCAATGTTGGTCAAGCAGATCAATATAAACTGTGCAATGAAAGTTTGTGTCTCTATAGAGTACAGCAGGTTTGGCCATTTATAATGAACAATGGTTTAATATGCTCTGTGTTGTCTGTAATACTCTTGATGTTGAACCATATGGAGACTGTATTCCATACAGATATCAGAAGGCAGAATCGATCTGTGTTTTCCAAAATACCAGATTGAGTTTATTTTATTTTTTTTTTGTTCATCCTGTATACTGTTGGCACACCAATTACTCTATATCATTAGTAATAAATCCAGGCCAAAAGACAAACTATATAGCCCGTAAGGTTGGCATGTAAACACCAGCTTGGGGGAAAAAGAATTGCAATTTGAAATCCCAAAATGTCCTGTTCATTGGGACGGTCTCCTTAGCCTGGTTATTTAAAACCCAGAATGCACCGTTCATGGGACCGTCTCCTTAGCCTGGCCATCTAAATCCCAGAATGCACCGTTCATGGGACTGTCTCCTTAGCCTGGCTATTTAAATCCCAGAATGCACCGTTCCTGGGACTGTCTCCTTAGCCTGGCTATTTAAATCCCAGAATGCACCGTTCCTGGGACTGTCTCCTTAGCCTGGCTATTTAAATCCCAGAATGCACCGTTCCTGGGACTGTCTCCTTAGCCTGGCCATCTAAATCCCAGAATGCACCGTTCATGGGACTGTCTCCTTAGCCTGGCCATTTAAAACCCAGAATGCACCGTTCATGGGACTGTCTCCTTAGCCTGGCTATTTAAATCCCAGAATGCACCGTTCATGGTACTGTCTCCTTAGCCTGGCTATTTAAATCCCAGAATGCACCGTTCATGGTACTGTCTCCTTAGCCTGGCTATTTAAATCCCAGCACTTGCTGTTGATGCAGCTTAATTGTGCTTTTCTTCCTATTGCAGTCGGCCTTGGACTTCTTCTAAACTGAATTCCTGATCCCTGATTAGCACATGTAATTTCTTGGCAGTGATACACACAGATCATTGGAGCATCTTGTGTTCACCACCATGGTCTGTCAGCCCTTCCACATCTGCTGTGTTCATGTCTGCTAGATAGTCTGTTCAAAGTATTCAGCATTTAAAGCCTTTACTTCCTCTCCAGCTGTCTGAAGGGATTTTAATTAAGTGCTTTGTTTGTCTTCCAGTCCCTCTTTGCTAAACAGTATGAGATATCTGGGCAATGATTGCAGGGAGAAGACTTTAACCCTGTCTCCCCCTTACTGTCTGCACCTTCTACGATCATCATTGAACTGGTCCCTCGTGTATCCTGATACATTTACTAGAATCATTTTTATTAAATGAAAATTGATTATTTTTTTTTAACATAGGTGAAGTGTGTAAAGATGGGGATTTATACATTTAATTTGTTTTCACATCTAAATATAGTGAACCTAATAAAAATTCTGGGAAGGGACTGTTCCCTTCTAATTGGTTTTCATCCTTTCTTCATATTTGTAACCAACCTACTATAATTTGTAAAGCTGAGTAAACCGAATACTTTACGTTTATCACTTTACATTGTTACATGGTTACATAGGCTGAAAGGAGACGTGTCCATTAAGTTCATCCTTCCTCACATTAGTCATTTGCTGTTAATCCAAAACAAGGCAAAAAAAGTTTGACGCAGTTCCAATTTTGCAACAAACTAGAAACCAAAAATTCCTTCTTGACCCCAGAATGGCAGTCAGATGTATCCTTGGATAAAGCAGTTATTACCCTACATTGAAAGATTATATCCTTGAATATTCTGTTTTTGCAATTATGCATCTAGTAGCCTTTTGAACATCTGTATGGACTCTGATAAAACCACTTCTTCAGGCAGAGAATTCTACATTACTGGCCTTGGCCACTGCTGATTGACATTGCACATTGTTGCATAGTTTGTTGTCTATAACAATTCCCAAGTCCTTTTCGTGTGTTGTTATCCCTAATTCGCTTCCATTAAGGGTATAAGTTGCTTGTGCATTCTTTGCATTTTTCTACATTAAATTTCATCTGCCATTTGAGTGCCCACTCTCTCTATAAATCCTTCTGCAGGAAAATATCTTGCTCACATTGTATTACTATGCAGAGTTTTGTGTCATCTGCAAACACTGCAATATGACTTTCAATGCTTTTTTTCTCCAAGATTATTTATAAATGTTAAATAGAAGTGGTCTCAAAACAGACCCCTGAGGGACACCACTTGCCACCTCTGTCCAGCTCGACAAATTACCATTAATGACAACTCGTTGGACTCTATTTTGTAAGCCAATGTTCTACCCAAGAACAAGAATTTTCATCTAGACCGATTTCTTTGAGTTTGAACACTAATCTATTGTGTGGAACTGTATCAAACTTTCTCTGCCTTGGTTCAGATTTTGATTTTCTTTGTACAGATACCAGTTACCATTATTACAAAAATCTGTCTTTGTGGTGGAAATTGCCCACTCCAGGTCTCCGATGGACATCACTCTGGAATTGCTCAAAGAAATTTTAAAGGTAAATAAACAAAAATTCATGTGTGATAGGTAAAGATTCTTACATGATCTCAGGGTATTGGCATTTTAAGAACACTTTTGGGGGGGGGGGGTTTAAAGAATCAATTGTTACTTCTTAAATCCAATAGTTGGAGTTGATCCAAAGTAGTCCTATTCTCTTCACTGCTTACAAATCTATCGATCTTACTCATTTTATTGAGACTTTTAATACATATACCCTGTGTCTTCTACAAAATTCATATTTAGTGCAGAGAAATGTAAAGGTGTAGTAACATACATTCACTCACCGTAACTTACCATTATGGTGGGTTTAGAGCATCTGGCCCATCAGCTTACAATTAGTAAGGTATAATAAGTAAAGGAGTATACTGGGTGTGTTGCACATTAAACATAAAGTGAGTTTTTGAGATGTAACTGAAGAGGCATTGGGTTCTAGAGATGCGGTCCAGGGGATTTAGTACTGGAGATGTGAATCCACTGGTGGGGCTTTCTGGAGATATGAATCCACTGGCGGCATGGGCCTCTGCAGGAAATTTTCCGGGGTGGGGGAGGGATAATTGTAATGACATCCATACTTGGCCCCTTTTTGACAGTGTCATGAAGGGGAGGGGCATAGTCCTAATGTAACGGAGCTCCAGTACTCCGACCGAGTACCTCCGCCACGTCTGCTTCCTTGTAGCTATCAGGGACCCTGAAACACTTCAGACCCAGACGTCGAGGCTTGACTGGGATCACTTAGGGACTTTTCCACCCTGGACCAAACACCAGATGACACATGGTGAAGGTTAAACAGCAACTCTTTAATGAATACAGCACACATAGTTTAAGCCCCCGACAGCATGGGTGCCGCTGATTTACTAGAGTGGTCAGCTGATGCTCTAAGCCAATCAATAGTTTCTAGTTTATAAAACGGTTTTACTTTTTTATGAATGGGGAGCTTCTGATTGGCTTAGAGTGCCAGCTGACCGCTCTAGGTAATCAGCGACACCCTTACCCAGCGGCACTCATTGCTTCCTGAATCTCCGTAAATAAAAGTGAACACATTAACACTGATTTTTTTTTTTTTTTTTTTTTTACCTGGTGAGATGAGAAGGTCCAAAGTTTTCCTGCTAGGCCCAGGGACCAAAGCCTTAATATGTGGTGTCCAGAATGAAGTGAAGGGATCACTTCACTAGTCTTCTTTTTCTTCTGACACTGTCTTTTCTCCATCTGCTCCTTCTCCTACTTTACCTTTATGCTCTTTGCTGCCCTTTCTGCTCCTTGCTGTTCCTTTATGCTACTTCTCCTACTTTGCCTTTGTGCTCCTTCTGATTCTTTCTGCTCCTTTACCATTGTGCCCCCTTCCTGCCCCTTGTGGGCCCTTCGCCTGATCTGTAGGCTGTGCCCCACCCACATCCCTCACTCACCTGAACTGTAGGCTGCCCCTGAAGTCTGGGAGTTGTTGGCTGCACTATGTGCTTTTCCCCTGCAAATTCAGTCAAGGGAGAGAAGCAGGGATAAGATGTAGCTTCTTATCCCTGCCTCTCTCCTTAAAGGACCACTATAGTGCCAGGAAAACACACTCGTTGATCTGTAGGCTGCCTCCCCATCCTTCACTCACGTGATCTGTAGGCTGCGCCTCCCCATCCCTCACTCACCTGATCTGTAGGCTGCGCACCCCCCCACATCCCTCACTCACCTGATCTGTAGGCTGCGCACCCCCCCACATCCCTCACTCACCTGATCTGTAGGCTGCGCACCCCCCCACATCCCTCACTCACCTGATCCGCCGGGCTGGATGGAGAGGAAGGGGTTAAACTTACCTCTTTCTCCAGCGCCGGGCGGGGAGCTCTCCTCCTCTTTGGCTGAATGCGGCAAGAGCTGCGCGCGCATTCAGCCAGTCTCATAGGAAAGCATTTACAATGCTTTCCTAAGGACGCTGGCGTCTTCTCACTGTGAAAATCACAGTGAGAAGCACGCAAGTGCCTCTAGCGGCTGTCAAGAAACAGCCACTAGAGGCTGGATTAACCCATTTATAAACATAGCAGTTTCTCTGAAACTGCTATGTTTATAGGAAAAAAAGGGTTAACCCTCAAACTTTAACAACACCCGAATGTTAGGAGATGTGAATCCACTGGTGGGGGGGGAGTGTTCTGGAGATGTTGGGCAGCTTGTGAAAAGTCTTATAAATGTGAAAGCAAGGATTTGTTTAGAGAGATGTAGTGAAAGATCTTGACCTGTGCATAGGGGACAAATAAAGGGGTACTTAGTAATTTTGTGTAGATCAGGAGTGCTGAGGGCTTCATTATTTTTTATATTTTTCCTTTTGTAAGATATTGGAAAGCCCTCGTATGACATATGGCCACTACTTGTTTGGAAGAGTACACCCATATGACCGAGGACTGAGAAAGCTCGGTAAGTGTCGGTACTAATACACTATGCAGGATTTTCATTTATCATTAACTTTTGCTACAACAATTGGCAGTAAAAAAATTTTAATAAAAAATAAACCTTAATAAAATTTTAATAAATACTTATTAATTTCACTATAAATCGTAATTAATTGAAATAATGGCGAATGAAAACATGTTTAACCCTGCTGTAGTTACAACCTAGGTACGTCTCTGCCAAAAATCTGTTTTATCTAACTTTAGCTCAATCAGAATAGTCGAATGATGGAACCCTAGTGTTTAACACACCAAACCATTCAGGCACATGGTTTAGGAACGGGCTTCCATGCAACAGATGGACATGTTGCATCGAAGCCCATTCCTTCTCTTTAAAGGGACATTGTAATTGCTGGACCCTTTCTCCATCCTTCCACTTGGTTTAAAAATATTGTTAATGCTTAACGAGAGATCCCAGCAATCCATTCCCTCTGTGCTGCTTGGATTGATGAGGAAGCATTAGCCTGAGCAGCAATGGGCAGCTGCGATTGAATGAGTGTCAGCTGACTGCTTCAGCCTATCACTGAGCACATTGCTGGAATGAATCGGTATTGCTAGAAGGAAGTGTGTAATCTGTCTTGGCCATACCTCCAGTGGGGGCAGTGCTTTGGAAAGCCAGGGTCCATCTTTCCGTGTTAAACTGCTCTGCTCAAATGGTTTAACACTTCAGTATTAATGTCTTTGGACGGCCTGCATCGGGGACTCAGGCACTAAAACCGCTTCAATTAGATTCAATTATATATTACCGGCAGCTTCCATTTAAAGCTTCATAAACCTTCTATGATTTTTTATTTATTTATTAATTTTTTTCACAAAACAAAATTTAAGATATGTCAAACTAATTTTAGCTCTAAACTTCCCAAAGTCTGATACTGATCTCCCATCTCTAAATTTTTACGTTAATTGGTTTCCTCTTTTTCCTGCAGAGTCTCTTAATGGTGTGACCCAATCATGGAGGCTGAAGGTGGATACACAGAGCGGCCATGATCTTTCACAGGTTGGTGATGGGCTTTCTGCCAGTGAGCCTGTCTGATTTATGCACCTGTGTTACCTTTAAATTTCTGGGGGGCATCCTTCCTGATTCTAACCTTTTTATAAAAACAATCGAATTATCTCTAAAGTGCAACTTTCTCAGTTAGTATTTTGGGGGGTTACCAGTGTATATAATGGGGTCATATATAAGAATCACACCTATACTGTTGTGTCCAAGTAATCTTTCTGCCACTTTTTTGGTTTGGGGGAGGGAGCCCTAAGAGACCAGAAAGAAAATAAAAAAAGTATGATGAAAAGGTTACAGTAAGAAATATTATGGTGAAAGTATAATGGGTGAGAAGCGAAAAAGTGCAGAAAATCAACCTAAAAAGAAGGCCGACGCTTCACACAACCCTCTGGGTGTTCTCCTTATTTTACAAACTGTATGTTGGGTAACCATAATCAGTCTTAACTATAGGCATGGCTTGGTGTCAATGGCAATCACCTCATTATGTCTGGAGACAAAGCACTGTAGGCTACTGATAGGGTACTGTGGATGGATGGGTTGTTGGAATCCTTCTGGTAACTATCCCCAAAGTACATTCAGTAGTATCTACTAAAGTGAATTCAAACTGAATTTCAAAATAGTCGAACTTGAAATATTCACTAGATCGGCTATGCTTTCAATTAAATTCACCGGGAATTCACTTTGAACACTCAATTCTAGTAAATAGCAGATTGTGTCCTACTGAGGAAGTGGAGTGAGAACTATGAAATACAAAAAAATATCAAACTGCCGTATTAAACTTCCATTATGTTCTTTTTCTCTTAAGATTAATTTGTTCTCCATCAAAAAGCTAAAGAATGCGGTTAAAACAGATCTGAGGAAGTACCAGATTTACTTGACGGGTCTTAAATCTCGCCTACGAGGTCTGGAACGGAGAGCGGCGACTGTGACCAAGGATTTGGAGAGAGCTAGTGAGTTCCAGTCTGTAACCTGATTTATATATTTTAGACATTTTAAAGGTTTACTTTTTGACAACTTAATTTGAAACTTTGAGCTGATCATTTGCTCAGGTTGGTAAAGATTGGAGTTTTATTGTGTGATCTGAATCAGTCACCTGTAACCTGTTGAGCGTTGATATTTAAATGGTTATTCCAGACTCCATGACGACTTCACTGGTTTAAAGTTGTCATGGTGCCTGGCGTGTTTGACTTTGAAATGCTGCATATACAGAATTTAACCCCTTTTTCTGCCAGAGGTGTAACTCCATCTCTGGCAGCATCATTTGGGTGTCATAAGCCAGCCCGGAACTAGCGTTGTGGTTGGCTAATGCCAATGCTGTGCAAATTTCATCACACAGTTATGTTGCTTGGAGTAACCATTTAAAGGTACACTCTAAGCATTAAAATAACTTTAGCTTAATGAAGCAGTATTGTTGTAGAGATCATGTCTCTGAAGTTTTTACTGTTCAATTCTCTGCCATTTAGCAGTTGAATTTTGTTGGTTTATGCAGCCCTAGCCACCCCTGGCTCTGACTCGCACAGCCTGCATGAAAAAGGGTTTATAAGTTTTATCTCCTGCGTGGTAAATTGAACTTTTATTACACACAGGAGGCTCCTGCAGGGTCTTTCAAACTATTAACAGTGCAGGAGATACAACATTCTAGATTAAACACACTGTGCAATAAAGGAAGTGAAACATAATCTCTCCCTTTGCAGGAATTGTTTAGGAAGGTTGTGTCACATGCAGGGAGGTGAGATTAGGGTTGCACAAACAGTTATTTAACCCTTGAATACTAGATAATAAAGCTGTGAGACTGCAGGGGCATGATCTATACACCAATACTGCTTCATTAAGATGAAGTTGTTTTTGTGCTTCTCTCCAGGGTTTGGTATCCGTAGACAGAAGCATGGCATTATGTAAAGTTTGGTGGGGGGAAACAAAACCCAAAAAACACAAAGGACAAATCCTAAACTGGCTCCACAGCTTGACTAGACTTGAGAAATTCAGTCCAGTGGTAAAACGTTCCGATACTTTATTAAAACACTAAAGTGTGAGGCATTTAATTTCATAAAGTATTAGAACTATTTGCCAATGGTTTGAATACATTAAAGATTCTATGGAGCATGTATAGGATAATTTATTTTTTAAATACATAGCTGGGTGTGAAAAGGTTTTCTGTGTGTCTTTAAAGTGGAAGAGTTTTGTAGTTTAATCGCAGTTTAGGAATGACTAGAACTGAGGTTTGAGTGGCCTCAGTAGGTTTCCATCCAGTTACCTGATGTGTCAATGTCTTATTGGAGCCCCTTGCGGCTACCAACCTGGTACCATGGAAGCAATATGGCGAGGCAGGAGGTAACTAGAACTAATAACTATATTTGCAAACATGGCTACTTAAAGAACAGAGCGCGAGTGCCATAAATCTTTCCCAATAAGTAGGATAGATCCAAAGGCAATGACACCTTCAGTTCTGTGCGTTCTCTAGAAAATCTAGAATCCGTTTTAGTTTTCCTTTTTCTAGATTAGCTATGGATATTTGCAGTTTCTCGAAAGAGTGGAATGTTTGTCTTTCTTTCTGTTGATTTTTTTTTCTTTTTTTTTTTTTCTGTAGACCTGGAGCTGGTGGCTCTAAAACAGGACCATTGTAACCCAGAGGTCAGAGTGGGCAAAGGGGAATCCTGTCTGAGAGCAGCTGGCCATTTGACATGTCAGCCGGTACTGGGCAACCACCAAGATCATCAGAGGATAGCCCCATATCCGGTCTGTCATGAGCAGTACCAGCATTTAAAGGTATAAATTAAATGAGAAATGTGTTTGCTTGCAAACCATACCTACCCTTCCCAAATGCTCAGTTATAGAGTAGGGCATTCTAAAGTGTAACAAGACTTTGATAACAAAACTTTAACAAATAACATCTAAATGCCTATTAAAGGCAGTTATGCAAGTAAAATAAATGCAGTAAATATCGTAATTTGATTAATTAACAAAAGGCAAAGTGAAAAAACAGAAGAAAAATGTAAATCAAATCAATATTTGTTGTGACCACACTTTGCGTTCAAAACAGCAATTCTTTTAGATACACCTGCACAACGTCAGGGATTTTAGATGGAATATAATCAGGTGCATGATTAAACAATTATTTTTAAGCAGGTGTTTTGTTAAGTGTTTAGACCTACATGTTAAATTGCTCTTTAAGTGAAATAGCTGTGTAGGAGGAACAAAACTGAATGTGAAACAGCCAAACTAACAAGGTGAGGTTGCTGAAGACAATCTAATGTCACATTCTACACCATGGCAAGACTGAGCACAACCACATGTCACAAGATAGTTTGTTAGCGAGGTCTCACCCAGGGTGTAGAACGTGACATTAGATTGTCTTCAGCAACCTCACCTTGTCTCAACTATCTACTGTCTGGAGAAGTCTGGTCAGAAGTGATCTTCATTGCTGACTTGTGGCAAAAAAAGCTATACCTCAAACATGAAAACAATGTCAACCATGTAGGACAACACAGGAACTCTAATGCAGAAAAAATGGCAGATGTCAAAATTTCAAACATTTGGCTGTGGCTGAAGGCAGTTTGTTAACCAAAAAGCTGGATATCCATACAATGAGTGTCTGTAGGCCACAGTGAAGCATGGTGGAGAGTCGTTTGAAGGTTTGGGGCTGCATTTTGCACAGTAATGTATCAATATAATTTGTAAAAAGATTGCCTATCCTCCAACTTGTTAATTTAAACATGAATTATAAAGATTGATAATGGAGCAAAATAAAATGCACCCTTGTATCATTCCAAGTAATGAGTACCTCAGATCAACTATAAAAATATACATTTAAAAATAAAATTAAAACCTTGTTACACTCAAAAGTAAACAAATTAAATTTCTAGACAGATGTACATGCCCGTAATCGGGACCTGTATGATTGAAACAGATACTCTGTGATTAATGTTCTGTACCTAAAGAAGGGTGGAATAGTGACTTAAAGGAAACCCACACTGTCTGTGATGGGCATGTAAATCAATCTCCTCATGGAAAAACAATTCAGAGGTAAGTACGCCCAAAGTTCTGGAGATATCCTATCGCATTGAGATCAATATTGAGTTTAGTCTTTGTTCTGTTCGTAAATGCCAGTTATAAAAAAGAAACAGTTTTATTTAAATCAAAATTGCTCTTATTCTCTTCATAACTAATTTATTTCCAGTAGGATAAAAATGCAAAACACCAATGGGGTACCAGAGGCTCAATAAAAATGTACCCTGGCTAATGGCACATAGCCAAATCTGCTTTATACGGTCTGTCAATTTGGCAATGTGCTGTTGGGCTTTGTACGATGAAGGACCAGGAGCCAAGATGGAGGTGCTCAGTGCCAGGACAGAAGTACCGACCGCTCTGAGAATTTCTACATTTAATTTTATTTTTCATACTGCAGAAACACAATTGTTAAATATAGGGAAAATTTAATATAACATTAAAAATCCTAGGAAGTGACCGCTTAAGCCCTTCAAATTATTTGGTCTATACATCTTTCTGGCAGCTTCCTATTACAAGGTATACATTTTCATTATTTATTTCACAAGTAAAATATAATCTTCAAAATGTACAGATAATTGAATCCCTTTTGACGTAATTAAAAAAAATACAACAATAACAGTTTAACCGATGTGAACTTACACCAGAAATGTGGCTTTATAGACTTTTCTCAATAGCTACTGCGGTGTTACAAACTGAAGTGGGTTTTATTCGAGTGTTCTATATAATGACAGCTTGGATCATACTAACCCTCCACCATATTTTACTCCTATTTCCTCAGTCAGAATATATTGTTCCAAAAGCCAATGTTTCATCTTGAACTTCTAGTGTGAGAAAGGGATTTATCCTTGATTGTGCTGGTCAGCTAAGTGCACTAAAATCTGTAATTTTGCCTCTCGTTCCTTATCTATATAATATTCTATCCCACAATGTATGTCCACAGTATGAAGAGCACTTAACCCAATACCAAAAACACAGTTGTCCACCTGGGAAAGGCCCGTCAGCCAGGAGAATTAATAAGGTTCAACTGAAGTCATGTATGTTGCAGTGCCAGGCTCAGATTGATGTAAGTATACAATTGTCCAGAGGAATCTGCATTATTTGGATATGCTGATACCTTGTGAGAACTCTAAATGTCCAACAAATTCTCGAACTTGTGTTTATGGTTGGTTCTTCTCTATAGTTGGACAAACTGGAAATTTAAGGATGGATATAAACAAGATTTAAAGATATGAAACACAAACAAGAGAATGGGGTGGGGAACCCACTTACTAGCGGTGGGTGGGGACCCACTCTCATTCGCAAATGCCTCCTAATTTAAAAGTTACATGAACATGGTAAGAACCTTTATTATGAACAAAAAAAAATAATAAATGATACTAAATACCCATATCCTAACACACCATAAACGTGTATAAACTGTGATAAAGTGAAAACTTATACCCATTTAAAAGCCTGGGTAATTTTATTCCAGAATACCCCTTAAAAGTGTATGGGGTCCAAAATGGCTAATAGTACGCAAACCTAAAAAGGATCAAAATCAAGCCATAAAGATCCCCTAAACAAGTGGTATGAAATCTAAAGGTATCTAGATATAATATAGTCCATACAGGACTGTGTGTATGCTGTCTGTGGCAAGTATATAGATTGTCTTAATGGGGCAGTAGGTGCCTAGCAGTGGTTCTGGTACCGATGCCCAATGGGACTATAATACAGTCACTTGTACAAACATCTAAAGGTCAGTAGGCTTCTAAAGTAACCTCGCAAGGGTTGTTTGTACTAAAAAATCTCCCTTTGTTGAGGGGAAAATAAGAAGTGACAAACTGGTGTAGCAAGTGAATGCTAGTGGCTAGGTGTGCTCACTGGAGTCCCTAAAGGGACACTCCAGGCACCCAGACCACTTCTGCCCATTGGAGCGGTCTGGGTGCCAACTCCCACTACTCTTAACCCTGCAACTGTAATTATTGCAGTTTTTTATAATCTGCAATAATTACATTGCAAGGTTAACTCCACTCTAGTAGACAGCCACTAGAGGGCACTTCCTGATTCATAGCAAAGATTTTCTTTGCTAGAGCATCGCTGGACATACTCACGCTGTATGAGGACCTCCAGCGTCACTCAATTCCCCATAAGAAAGCATTGAAAATCTTTTTCAATGCTTTCCTATGGGGAGACCTAATGTGCGGGATCAGTCTTGCCCACCGGCTGACGTGATTACTGGGAGGAGCGACGCCGACCCGAAACCACCGCCGAGGGACATCGGCAGGGTCTCAGGTAAGTGACCTGAAGGGGTTTTCACCCCTTCAGCTACCGGGGATGGGAGGTGGGAGGGAGAGGGTACCTGCAGTACCTTGGAGTTTTCCTTTAAGGTGAATTGAGCCACCCATACATCCCTCTAATATAAAGAACAGCTCCTAATGGATATGTCACCCCACCAACTAAAGTAAGGGAAGGCTAGAGTAATGAAACTGCAAATACACCTAAAACTGTACAAAGTCAATAGCCCCCCCCCCCCAGTCCGGGGCATAAAGGAGCTACAAGGGAAATTATGGGGAAGAACGTATCTTCCAACAGGTAATATAACAAGTAAGCAACACCCTAGACTGACTGTCTAGCCCAAAGGCATAACCAGAATGTCTGACTGCTGCTTCAAGGCAGCCTAGCAATGTCCATGTAGACCTAAGTAGAGGCTCGAGCGCATATTAAATCAAAACCACAGCCATCGTTGGAACCCAAGTAAAAATAAAAAAAGGAAAAATTAAAACTCTATCAGTGTAGATGCATCGGCACAAAATAGCTCGACGTGCGTTTCAGCATTTCCACTGCTTTAGGGAATCTTTATGGCTTGATTTTGATCCTTTTTAGGTTTGTGACTAGTGATGTCCCGAACGGTGCGCCACGGACTCCTCATTGAGTAAACTTTGACCCTGTACCTCACAGTCTGCAGACACATTCCAGCCAATCAGCAGCAGACCCTCCCTCCCAGACTCTCCCACCTCCTGGACAGCATCCATTTTTCATTCATTGTGAAGCTGCATTCTTAGTGAGCTGTCTGACTGTGAGGTACAGGGTCAAAGTTTACTCAATGATGAGTCCGTGACGAACCGTTCGGGAAATCACTATTTGTGTACTATTAACCATTTTGGACCCCATACACTTTTGTGGTATGCTGGAATAAATTACCCAGGCTTTTAAAAAGGTATAGGTTTTCACTTTATCACAGTTTATACACGTTTATGGTGTGTTCGGATATGGGTATTTAGTATCATTTATTTTTTTGTTCATAATAAAGGTTCTTACCATGTTCATGTAACTCTTTTAAATTAGGAGGTATTTGCAAATGAGAGTGGGTCCCATCCACAGCTAGTGAGTGGGTTCCCCACCCCATTCTTTAGTTTGTTTCATATATTTACCTTGGGGTCAAGCCCCCTAATTCCCCCTGTAACCTCTCTGAGGTACTGGTGTTGGCTAGTCCAGCACCACAACCTTTCCATTCATTTCCAATTTCAAGATAACTAATAACACCATCTCAAACCTATCCCAGTAGGGAAAGCTTAGTTCTCTTCTATAACTCCTATCAAGGAACCTCTTGAGGGGCCCATCAGAGGGATGTTTCTGTAGTGACCAAATTAATCCACTAGCCTGATGTTGTCCCAGATGAAAAGGTTGTGCAGAATAGGAACCGGTTTAAAAGGGATCCAAGATATTCTAAGCAGTTTGCGCTATTTGGTTGCTGTCCACTGGTTGGTGTTTAGGATTTTTTTTTTTTTTTGGCAACATTTAATATGTGACTGGATGTTGAGCATATTATGGATTTAATTTCAGATTTATCTGTGTCTTTCTAGGTTCTCATGGAGCAGGTAAACAAACAAATTAATAACACTGAAATTGATATCACTGCCACCAAAAACCTAATTCAGATCAAGAAAACCAGGAGAAGTGAGAATAGAAAACATGGTTACCTGTATAATAAGGTGAGCCCTGGCTTGTCCTACAGCTCTAGAACAGTACTGTGTGATCAGGTGAGCCCCGCCTTCTGCGTCATACAGCTCTAGAACAATACTGTGTGATCAGGTGAGCTCCGCCTTCTGCGTCATACAGCTCTAGAACAATACTGTGTGATAAGGTGAGCTCCGCCTTCTGCGTCATACAGCTCTAGAACAATACTGTGTGATAAGGTGAGCCCACCTTCTGCGTCATACAGCTCTAGAACAATACTGTGTGATCAGGTGAGCCCTGCCTTCTGTGTCATACAGCTCTAGAACAATGCTGTAACTGATGTATTGATTCCCCTTAATATCACCACCTGGCTGTCACGCAGGGAGCTGCAGTTAGGAGTCTCTCATTTCTGGGTTAGGCGTAAGTAATTATTTTTTTTAATGGGTACAGGAGGCGTGGCTAAATATAAAATGCAAAAAGAACACTCCTCTAACTACAGATATAAAGTAATCTCTACCTTTTGGATTTTACCCATAATTTTTGCCTATAATACCTCTGAGAATTTCTGCAATTCTGTTTCTTTTGGGTAATGGCGATTTACTCTAAAGAACGAAAGTCAAGGACAAAAATTATAGGAATTCTTCCTTAATACTTCATTTTCTCATATCTCACTCCATAAATGTTATGAGGCAAAGGTGCCCTCTAGTGGCAGTACTGGGCATTAATGGTTTTCTTACTTTACAAATATCTCTCAATACGTACCATACAAAATAGGCAGTTTTCCACTTTTACTCATTGTATATTGTCACCATATTTCACTATAGTTAACTCTAAATTGGAGAGGCACTGTATCTATTTTATTTGTTTGTAATTAGTCATAATTTGTTTTCATTTTCCCCATCTCGTATTTTGTTGCTGTCTTATAAAGTTCATTGCACTCTTTACCCCCAATTAGCCTGTATACACCCCCAACTAGTGTATTGTTATAATCTATTGATATCTCTGCATATTCAGTTTAGAATTGCCGAATCATGCTATACCTCTGTACTCACAGCACATTATTGAACTAAATCCGTACATATTACGTTATACCACATCATGATATAAAGAAGCAAATGTTATCATTGACACAACTGGTTTTCATCCATAAACCCACCCATTCTGTCCCTGCCCTCTGCATAGTTTATTTTTGCATTATAAATACTGAGCTCATGCAGTACATTTTTTACAGAATAGCACTCTGTCTGAAGGTAATCAACCATTATTTCTCATTCTCTTTGTAGAATTGTCGGTGGATTGACTCCATATTGTCTGACGAGCCCTTTCCACAACCTGCTTAACGTCTCTCGACAGACTTGGATTGTAAAGTAAACTCTAGATGCTGCCAGGAAGCTTAGCATCCTCGTCCCGATGACCGTTAAAACTTTTGCTGAGGACTCGTGTTTCTGCCAAGTTGGCGAGCTACGGCACTGGCTCTTGGCCACCGGTGTAACCAGACGCGTTTTTATGGGAAATTCAGCAGGTACTGGATACTCTTCTCATGTGACTGGTTCCATGTTTGGTTTAATCAGACCTTTACACGGAAAGGATTTCGAATTAAACCTAAATAAAACATTTATTGTTGCACATTGTGTTGGTCGCGATTATTTCTTATGATGTGGATTTGTAACCAGCTAAACACTAATCACTTTACTGCCGTCTACAGCAGGAACAACCCTCCCTAAAGGCTGAGGGCTTACTCGCTAAACTGGAAATTACAGAGAATGGATGAGGAAATGTCATGTTTCAGGGAAAACCGGCAGATTGGGAAAAACCTTTAGATTTATTTTCTAAAATGATTAAACTGTGACTATGGCTGAGATTGGGTTTTTAAAAAAAAATTTTTTTTATCAACTATTTTATCCTGAGTTGGTTTTTTTTCCATTTGAATCTGTTTACTACAATCTGTAGAGCAGTTAATAAGTGCTGGCCTTCTCTTTAAGGGGCTCACAACGCCTAGATCCTTGGCTATCTCCTGGATCGAAAAGTAGGACAAAGTTGATTAATAGCTGCTGTGGCTGGGGACACTCAGTTGCTGCCCTCAGGTCATCTATAGGGGGTAATGACGACTGGTTCTTTTATACCTCATTGAGCAGAGGAGCCAGCTAACTACTGACTGATAGAACACTAATACTTACCTTAAAATGTATCAGTGTTCAGTTATTTAATAAGCTCTAACTAGTTTTGTGCTAATGCAGGCCTGTGATTGGTCTTGCTGCTGATTGGCTGATGCTAGTTACACTTATCGGAAATCTGTAAGTGCAACCAATGAAAAGGCAAAGTTCAGACTGATGCTCTCCAATAACTGGTCAGAGAAAAGAAGCAAGTATCACGTGGACATCATGGGCAACATGTTAAGTAAAAAACTGGAAGTGATGGGGAGGAGCTTGCATCTCTGCATAAGTTACCTAATTAAAAAAAGCCTTATTTTTAAAGCTGTAGGATGACCTTGATTTAAATTAGAGTTTACATTGCTTCTCTAGATTTCCTTGAAATTTTGTGAGTTACTTTTAGGGAGGGAGTGTAATGGAAATTTGACTGCAATCCTGATTTAGTCTTTAAATAACTAAAATAACCCACCGTCTTTAACAAAAGGCTTGAACGTAAAAACCAAATAGAATATATAATTTTTATTTTACAGAGGTTCCAGCACTTTTTCACAGCAGGAACACTGTTACCGTTGCTCCTGCAGGCACTCAGTGGGTGGCAAAAAACTCCCCTGTCATGGGGGAGGGGGGGCCCAAGAGGTGGCCTGATTGGACACCCCCCACCCCAGCGGGAGCCTGTCTCCCTGTCAAATGCGGCGAGGGAGCTGGGAGCCAGAAAATTACGTCATATTCCGGCTCCGGCATCAGTAGACAGCCTGCACGGTGAGAGGGAGCAGAGCAGAGAGAACTCTGACAGGGAGACTGCTGGCTGCTGCACTGAAGCCCCACTGGACCCCAGAGACAGGTCCACGCCAGCTCTCCAGGTAGGGAGGCTGAGAGGACATTTGTAAATGTAAAAAATATGAATTTGTGTCTTTATATATGCATTCAAGTGTATATTTTTTTTGGGGGGGAGGAGGGATGAGGGCGGTGGATCGTGGGTAAGTTCCCACACTTGACCTCTGGAAAGTCTGGGTCCCATTTCTACTGCCACAGGACCATGTGCACACCACACAGGATGGACTGGCGTCATATGGATCCAAAAATGTTACTGTACTATACTGAAACAGCTGTCATAAACCCCATTCTGTTAATTCTGATGGATGACATTACATGACTACACCCTCCATGACCAGGGACGTTTTAGCTGCGAGGCAAACAAGGCATTTGCCTTGGTGGCACTTTCCAGGGGGCGGCAAAAAAAAGCTGTCCCCAAATGCCCAGGGCAAATGTCTTGTTAGCCTTGCGGCTAACTGACATGCTGGGCGGTCGGCTCTGGCGAGGGAGCACTTTCCCCTGAGCTGTCTGGTCAGTTCCCTCGCGCGCAGCCCGCAGAGTAAGGCTGGGAGCCGGAAGATGACTTCATATGAGCAGACCGCTCAGAGGAAAGTGCTCCCTCACCAGCGCCGACCGCCTAGCAACCAGCCCATCAGCCCGACCGGTAGCCCGAGGGAGAACCACCCCCCCCCCCAGCATTCCTAAAGGTAAGGAGGCTGGGGGGGTTAAAAAAAAAAACGTGAGTGTTAATGTGAGTGTGTTTGTCTGCTAGTGTGTGTGTGTGTGTGTGTGTGTGTGTGTTTTTGCCTGTTAGTGAGTATGTGTTTCTGTCAGTGAATGTGTGTATTTAGAATGCGGGGAAGGGTTGGGTGGGGGTGGCGTGCGGAGGGGGAGGACGTCTGAGTTTTGTCCTGCCTAGGGCAGCACAAAACCAGGATACACCATTGTCCCTGACTAATGTAATCTGTGCCCTTTATCTATACCATATACTGCTGACAGTGGTGGGTGTGAAGAAATACCCCTTTTCTTACACTATTTCTGCCCATTGCATTCGGTAGATGTAACTACCGAACAAAGACCACCCCTCTGGCTCGTTAAACATCAATGACCGATTCAATTGCCACCTCTGTCTGTGCGGCCAGCGTTTGTACAGCCGAACGCCACGTGGCAGAGAAAACCGCTGCCATCTTTGTTCATGCGAACAAAGGCAGCGGGACGTGGTCGTCGAGTGTATGGAACTGAAAATGGACACTCGACTTCCTGAACACCGGTCTCAAACAGACAAACGTTGGAACTCTACTTACCGAATAGCTAAAAAACACAAAGGACAATTAAGACGGTGCATGTATCTGTGTGTACCAACTCCCTAAAAGACAGGGAGGGCACACCTATACAGTAGAGTCTTAAGTACCGCAGAGAGACTCCAGGGGTCTCAACGGGGCTTAACCCCAAATAGAAAATGCCACAGAAAAAAGAGAAGAAACGCAGGCAGACTTAGGATATCCAACAAACCCCAGTCTGTCTGCATTACCTGGAAATAATATATAGCAATGTAGCGTGGAGAGATACTGGCTAGAAAATACCAGGGTAAAGACAAACGAGTAGGAGAAATTTAATTTAAAATTATAAAGCCTCTCTCCCTGGTAAACTAACTAGACAGGCATAGGAATACAAAGAAAAGAAAACAAAGAAAAATGTGGTAAGTACAATTCATAGTGCTAGGGTGCCATTCAGTGCCTAGTGTAAATATTGGCAAACGCCCAACGCGTGTTTCGGTGCTTAGAGAATGCACCTTCGTCAGGGGTTACCGAATAGCTAGAAGAGCGCTATTTGGTACTTTGGTACATTCAACAGAGGGGCACGAATGCTGCTAGTAGCCAGAGGGATCCATTCGGTACTTTGTTTGCTTTTTTCCTATTTCTAAAGTGACCGGCAAAACCCACCAAACTCATGGGACTGTTTTGGGCATACAGCCCAGGGTGAGCCGGTCACAGAAGACATCCATAGTTTTTGCGAACCCCTGAACGGATCTGGGTGAAATTCGGATATGTTGGTCACCCAGATCAGGGCTATCAGGGGACATGTTATTTGTGGGGATACCCCAAGTATAAAGGGGTGATCCAGTTATTGGGGAAAAAAGTGATTTTTCAGCCCGGAGATAATTTATTCTTTTATCAGACTTAATTATCTCCACGGCTAGGGGAGGGAATTGTGGGTGTGTGTTAAAGTTTTACAGTATATGGTGAATATTTGTCCCTCCCTGAGGGTTGTCCCCTTGCATGGGGACTTGCATAAAAGCTGTGTGTGCCCATTAAAAGTTAGTTCATCTTATACCCTTCTTCTTGACTTCGACTGATGTTTGGGTATTCGTGTGTTTCACTAAGGGAATCATCTTGTGAAGCTGTGGGAATTACTATAGGGTTTGTCTATTCTATCTACCGAACGGAGGGCTATATCACTAAGGCTCTGGCGGTTCGGGAGGAAACTACCGAATGAGGTTTAAATATACTTGGTTTCCTTACAGTGGGTCATTCATAGGGCTATTTATTGCAGCACCCCACCAGATAAATAAAATTAAACATTAAAAAAAATTAAAATAATCATTTCCAGATAAATTTAAATTAAACCTAAACATTTTTTAAAATAAAATAATCATTTCCAGTGGTAAGAGATGTATTAACTTGCAAATTTACATTGTTTACATTATAAATGGTAACCCTACACCATGCAGCACGGCAGGGCTACAGATTCTCCTCCCCTTCTTCCACTACAGGACAAACGGAATTATTGCTGTTTGTATAAACGGAGTGAAAGCGGGCACGTATAGAAATCAGGCAGTTTGTGAAATCTGACCAATCAGCTCACGTGCTCAGTGCTTAGATGAGGGCTGGATGTGTTTTCATTTTTTTTGTTTTTAAAGTTTTAAAATATGAATTTGAGGCACAGATCTTGGAACCGGGTCTGATTTAGCATAAACCGTATGGCTTTCATTGGCAGTGGACAAAGCTCTGTCTTGATCATAATACAAGTTATTTCTACACTTACTGCTTTCTCAAAAGCCCCTCTCCTTTTTATAAAGCCCAGAAATGAAAATGTTTGTTCTAAATGTCAGCTCTTACCTAAATATCACGTTTAGCCACATATAACACAGATCTTTTATTTCTGCGTTAGGTTCGCTCCCTAATACATGCAACGTGCCATCTTGTACCTGTAGATAAAGCGATGTTTCCCCAGCAGTTTTGCAGCAAAATCAGAACAAAGCTGCATTAAATAAATTTACACTTACAATTGCTAAATGTCCCTTGGTGAGTCCATCCAAATTCCCATAAAGCTCAAAACAAGGAAAAATACGAATTCATGTAGTTTCACCAAAATAAAATCTACTGTATTATGCAATAACATATTAAACATACCAACCAGTTGGCAGAGAACAGACAGCAGACTTAATCGAATGCCTGCCGCTGAATAGGGAAAGTAAAAGGACTAGGAGACGCACTGAACGAGGACACAATGTGACAAAGTGACAAAGAGTCCGCTTTGGACACGAAACAAGTTCGTTGTGTCTCCTTGTCCTTTAGTTTTCTCCCCTTCAGTGGCAGGTAGGTGTTAGGGGTGTGTTTGGCTACTGTGCTGCCCTCTGCCAACTGCCTTGTATTTTGTGATCTACTTTTACAATCATCTCTCTGTTTGTTAAAAATCCCATGGATTCTGATATTGTTTTATGTGCAACTTTCATCATCATTTTGTACTGCTGCAACATCAAAAAGTCACACAATATTCACTGGGGTAAAGGGACTCTCCAGACCCCTAAAGCAGTAAAGTTAAATGCATACATGTGTTCATTGCGGTTATTTCTACTACAGTATTTCGTTTTTTTGTGTGTGTGTGTGTTCAGGTAGTAAAGTGTCCTTTTAATCACTAAATTATGATTTATGAGCTATTCACCAGGGAACTGTAAATTTGTAGCCTAACATAGCTGAACTAGAAAAAGTTGATTTAAACTTTCTCTAAGTTGCGAACCTTTGGACTCAAGTTTGTGCTTGCTTGGTGATTTCTAGACCGTTCACGGTTAATGATTAACCCTGTAAATTCAGCAGTAGAACAAATTATAAAGGATGAAAAACCACCAAAATTTTCTGGAATAATTCACAGTGAATTCATATTGGAAGATATACATATTTATCTTCAGACTTTAGCATGAAATAAAACGGTTATCCTTGTAAACCAAAAAAAAAAGTACAATACAAATTTGCTAAACAGTTTCTGATGAAGGACACAAGTAGAATATCATCGATCAAATGTCCTTATGAAGGATTACAGTTAATACTTCATTTTATATTTATAGGGTTCAAACATTTAAAAAAGCTTTGGATTTGTATCACGCAAGATAATTTAGTTTTTCTTTTGAGCTTTGCTTTCATTTACTGAAATCTTGATTAGTGTTAGTAATACTATAGCTTGGACAACAATGCCCAGTTTATCTATGAACACCGCTTACCTGGTGCTTTAAAACGCGTCCGTAATCTGCTAACCAAGTATTCCTGCTTTTTAAAATTACATTTCTATTTCATAATATTCACCTGCTTGTAACATCAAACTTCACTCTGTATTTGTGGAGCTTCCCTTTTGATTTCTAGAATGGATGGGGTCTTCCCTGTCCCTGATCAAGTTTGCTTCTGCTGAAACTTCCTTTAAAGAGTCTTTCGTAAAAACAGCAGGGTCTCCTTCTTCTGCTCTGGCTGCCCTGTCTGGTACAAACTGGGAAGCTTAAAACGTTCCTTTTTGGCTTCCTTGGAATTAAACGGACAGATCTTCAGGTGTTCAGCCATAGATGGGGCATCATCAAACTCCCAGTGATGAACCCTGGAGAAGAGGCTGCTAAAATTCCAAACCTGCGTCAAGAAGGAACATAAAACGATAGTAACTAACCCTGGGCAAATCATTTCATTTGGAAATCTATGTGATCAAAGTCTACTAAAAGGTCTATTATTACACTAACAAATGGACAGTAAATTGAATGTTTTACCCTATTTTTTTCTGGATTCAATCTTCAAAAGGCAGAAAAAAAACATTAATAAATGAAAACCCATCAGAGTCCACTTTTACCTAAAAGGGTCATGTTATTTCACATTGTAATCAGGCGATTACTGCTCCAAAGTGTCCACCATTATCATGTGAAATGTTATATTTGCATATATATTTCAAACTTTTGGATTTTTATTTACTTTGTGAAAATGGACTGAAACTATACTTTTATATGGTCATTTTGGCATAAGTCAATAAAATATACACTTTAAGGGTAGATCTTGCCTTTTCAATGTTTGTAATTATTAAAGAAACATCAGATATAGTTCTTGGAGACACTGCCAGCTTTCTTTAGACCAATGCACTCCATCTTCTCCATAGTATATATATAACATAATGTACAATACATGAAATAAGGATCAGAAAACCTATGCTCTATAATTTGGAGATCATGGGTGAGTGGCCCAGTAATTATTTTTAAATGGACTTCTAAGCGTACCACTTTTTTCTGATTCTTTCAAACACAGTTACCTTTTTTTGAGATCTCCATGATGTCCCTCCATGAGAATATGTCTTCTTCTTCCAATGTAAATGGACCATGCCTCTCTCATGTAACAATGTGGCACAAACATCTCTCATCAAAACAGACACCTGTGATAGCTGAGATAGACTGAAACTGTCCAGAAATCCAGCAATGTGCTGCAGGACCTCTAGTGGCAGAGTGGTCAAGGAATCTTTGCTTTTCCCTCTATTACTTCTTGAAAGGTTAGGTCTTACACCCTCATATAACGTATTGGCCACCAGTGGTTTCAGGCCAAAGGTTTTAAGCTCTTTGTTGTAGATGACGTGGGCCTTCTGCTTTTTTGGGTGAAACCTGTTTTGTACAAAAGTGCAACCCAAGTAAGAAAGTGGGCATCTCTGGTGGAACCACCCATTAAGATCAGATTGTACATCACAGTGGACATTTTTAAAATGGAAGGGAAACTCATCTCTCCTGAAGAAGAGGTTGCAGGAGAAGCTGAAAGCAGAATTGTTTTTGTTGTTTCTCCTGGTTACACACTCAGTCTCTATGTCTAGATGAAGTCCTACATTTCTGTTACGTGGAAGAGTGTCTAATAAAACAATCTTGTCAGAAAAAGCATCCATGCCAAAATCAAAAGTCTGTGTCCCAATATCAGTCAGCATGCAAGCAAGAGCGTTTGTTTCTGATATTGTGTGACCTCTCACCTCCTTCTCCAGGGCACAAAGCAAGGTATTGTAAATTGCATCTGATAAGGGCAGGTCCTGCTGTTGGATTCCTAGGTCTGAAGTGTCTACTGACTGTTCTTTTACTACTTTAGGGCGGTCTTCACCTGGTCTTGCTCTTCTCCAGTGGTAGCTATCTGGTATTTTGAATGTGTTCACGGATTTGACTACTTGTGCTTCAAGTTTGCCATAAACAAAGTCTTTTTCTTTAGGAGTGCATGCTGCCATTTGACCGAATTGGATCAGCATACTGCCATGATGGACCAAGTACATATTGTAACTTCCACAATCCACTTCAGTCTTCAGCCTTTCTAGCACGCCATCCTGCCAAGGAGCCAAGCCGGTTGTCTCCATGTTCACATTCTGCTTCTTATTTTCATCTTGTATTTTAGTTTCCTCCTGTTTATCAACTATTTTGCTCTTGGCAGTTGTCTTTTTGCTAGTTTTTGAAGTGTTGCTATTGCTTTGGGCTGCATTGGACTCCAAATACTGAGCTGTTGTTTTTTCTTTACTGAAAATAGATTCCCAGTTAGAAAATATTGATGCATCTAGATCTCCTCCTTTGTTCCTTGCTAGAGCCTCACGTTCATATTGTGTAAGACCAACTTCACTGTTATTCAACTCTATACCATTCAGCTGCAAATCTGTTCCTCCTACTGCACCGACTTCTTCCACAGTGTCATCGTCTTTCTCTAGACTTATTATATTTTGGGGATTTTCTGACAGTTCTGGGTAGAATTCTGACATTTTCAAAGAGCTGAACAGAATGTTCTGGTCTCTAAGAGCTAGGGCCACATCTAGACATTCTTCGTTTTGCTCTTCCTTTGTAAGGTTTTCAAATAGTGGTCCTTCTTTGTCAATAACAGGCCAACGATTCCAATCCATAGAGCAACAGACCACACTTGCAGGACAAACCTTCAGGTGCTTTGCCAGTTTGGAACGAGACATAGAGAATGGGCATCCAAAAACTGAATTTAGGCAAGGAACCCATTCAAGAGGGCAAAGCAGGCGATGCTCATCTTCTTTACATAGATGGAAGGTGGCACCACAGTGTGTCCGGCAGGCGATCATTGAACAAGAGATGCCGACGTTTACTGGTGCTTGGCATCGTTTATTGAAGCATAAGTCACAGTGTTTATGCTGCCCTGGAGGAGGCTTCTGTGGTAGTCCCTTTATTCATTAATAGAAGTGAGGAATATTAAAAGAAAACAGAAACATAATTAGTTATATGCTAAAAGATAATTAAACATTCCTCACTCATTGAAAAATATTTATTAATTAAAACCTGCTGACTTGTAATAAAGTGAATCATAAGCAGCCGTGCACACAATGTACAACACTATTATTATTTTGAAATGTTGGCACATGTTGGCAAAACCTTATAAAATCTAGGTGGAATAGTACATATTATGGTGAACTAAAAATTCTGCATTATTTTGTGGTGTGGTGGAAGGCTGGGCTTTGAAAAGTCAGGCTTTTTGTAAAACCACTAGTATGTAAAATAAACCATTGCATGTATAATAATCTATGTGTGCGTTATTTTGTAATAAGTAAATACCTCTTTTCAGTGGGTCCTCTGGTGTATGCTTGTTTTACGAGGCAGCCATCTTTAATTCCTGGTTTCTCTGATCAGACACCCAGCTTACCAGCTAAGCAATGAGCTTGTGATTAAGAGCTAGTGTGTGTTAATAATAAATAACATAACCTGGTAAGTTAGGTTTGTTAGTTGGTAGGTATTATTGTAAATACCAGTATCATCAGCAGGGCAGGCAGGTGAAAGATGGAATTCAGTGTAAACAAATGCAATGTTATGCATTTTGAGATGAGGAATTGGGAACTAGTAGACATAACAGACTATCACTAGGCAACAATATGCAATGTCGGTCATCAGCTGCAAAGGCCTTTAAGGCATTGTGTAAAGAAAGCATAATTTAGCCCCTTTATAAATGTGTGATAAAACACCACCTTGAAAACGTAGTGTAATGCTGGCAAACCGTTTTTAAGAAGGATATTGAGGAACAAGAAAAAGTGCAGAGGTGGTCTAAAAAATGAGTAAATGGGAAAAAAGGCTAGAAAAGTTGTACTTGTTCTTTTTGTACTTCTTTTAAGAAAAAATTGATATGAGTAACAGTACGTTAATATTAACCTGTCCATTAATAATGTCCTAGGTCACTGATGTGGGAGGACCAGCAATCCTAGGAGAACTGACAAGGAGAGCAAGGGACAAAGCCCAATCATGTCACTGGCAAGCCAAGGAATAATTCTCCTCCTGCCTAGGTTAATGGTGTGGGAGGACTGGCCATCCTTGGAACAATCCCCCCTCCCCCCCACTTACAAATCTTGACACACTGCTCTTGGATAAAGCTTCTGAAACCTCTCTGTGTTATTTGAAAAAAACAACTATTAAAAAATTACTGAAGACGAAATATTGTCACATTTACTAAACTGATGCCCATGTATCATCGTCTACTCCCTGAAATAGTTATATCCTAAAAATAATAATAGTCATAAACCCTTAAATTGTCAACACAAAAAAAGATGCAAAATAGTTAGGTCTGTGTTAGAAATTAAAGTATATATGAGATTTTCAGCTCTGTCTACATGATTTCAGCTTTTATTGGATATTGGCTGCAAGGCACGTGAAAGATGAACTCACCATGATTTTGGCTAGAACTCAACAGTCAGATCACATTCGACCACCTCCTAAATTATTTTGCTGTGATTGTGATTCTGATAGAAAAAGAAAAATAAGAAATGTTAGAAGTAATATGAAATAAAATGTTATATCTGTGGACGACATTCAGATACGCCATTGCTCAATAATTGTATAACTTCACATTTTATTGGTTTAATATGTTATATAGTTATAGATAATGACTTGGGCTTGGTCAGAAGGAAGCAGAGGTGATCTTCATCCTACCTCGAATGACCTTTTGCACAGGTGGAGAGGCAGTAATCAGGAGAGATCTCTCAGTCCAAGAGCCATAAGTATTTTTAATTAATTAATGCTGAAGATTCCTAAATATAAAGTGGGCTTCCGGTTCCGCCGCCATCTTAGCTGGCCACAGTTTTACTCACCTCCTCTCGGGATAATTTCATCTGATTCCATCTGACGCTTGGGTGCTGTGTGGGGCTGCTCTAAAACTGGGTCTGCCTCCTCACATCCTCCCCGACTGACTGCTTGAGGGTCTGCTCGCTGCTCTGCACATCGAGAGCAAGGGCCAAAAGTCAAGGCCTTTGGGACAGGCCGCATTACCCGACCGCAGCTGTTGGGAAAATATAACATCACTCTGGGATTCGGTGTGGCTGGGACTTACCAAAGAACTTCGAAGGCAGGGTAAATATATCACTCGCGGTGGATACTGTGACAGGTACCTCATCACTTCTTAAAGCTGTACATCCTGCTTGCAACTACCCCTCTTGTGCAGCCTCTCTAGACCACACACAACTAACTGGGTTAGAGCCACACACATTGCCTCTGAAGGGAAGCAAACTGACAAGCTGTGGCTGCCGGTGTACTCACAGTCTCTCAGTTCAGGAATTAAACCAGGTGGCACCTATTCACATACCTCAATTCTGAACCCAGGCTGTCACACTGTAACGGATCACCTAGCACCCCAACTGGGTACCTCCGTTGACGGATGCTCCTAGCGCTTCTTGAGCACTCCAAGCACTGCAGCAGACACCATAATCACTGTAGACTCCTCCAGAGAGCAAGGCAGGAACAAGCTCTTACAAGAGCTTAGTAGTGATTTAGCAAGGGAGTATGACAAGCATAGCAATCCCTTGTAGCAGATTCCCCCAATAAGAGACGGCACTCCAAATTGAGGGTGAAGTAGAACTGTCTAAAACTTTATTTTACTTGGCACTAGCCCATATTGTCATTACATTAACATTGCTGTGAAAACTCAATAAAATTACAAACAGTCAAATCATAGCAGGCATCATACAGTGACTTATTATAATACAATTACATATTTATACATGGGTGGGGATGACCATGATAAACACAAAATGTCTCTCCTACATTCAGAATTAGTGATATGCAAATCTATCCAAATATGCAAATTACCAGTCTTGCTATTCAGGTAGTGCTACCAACAGAGGGCACTACACAAGCTCCATAGCCAAATCCACCTAGTTGGCAGCAATCCTCAGCAGTACAGGAGAGCAGGCAATACATCCCAAGGGCCATAGTCACATGGCAGGAGGCTGGCAATCAGTTTTCTCCAATGCCCAGTGGTGAGGCTGGTTCCGCCACACACACACCTTCTTGCATTGTATATAGGACTCAATGTGCTTACCCTGTTTTATTTTATATACCCAACATTCCTGCTTTTCATTGCCCCTCACTACTGCTTGGAGTTACTGCTGCCACTCCACACTGGTGACCTGGCTACTAGGCTGTCTCTCTGCTCACATCAGCCTGTGCCACCTTGAGGAACTGTATGCCTCTGCTTACGCATCTATCGCTCTTACCTTGAGCGCCCACTGATTTACCCTGCTTCATATCTTGTGGAGGCAGGGCTGGGCCCCACTTTCTTTCTCTGCACACATAGATAGCGAATATCGCGATCTATGTGTGCAGCTGCGGCCCCCTGGCTCCCTGTTACCGCAGAGGGGGCCCAGGCAGCACACAGCTTCTCCTCTCTTCTCTCTTCTAATAACTCTTGCGAGACCTGCGGAGTGTTGCCATGGTAACCAGGTCTCGCGAGAGTTATTAGAAGAGAGAAGAGAGGAGAAGCTGTGTGCTGCCTGGGCCTCCTCTGCGGTAACAGGGAGCCAGGGGGCTCTGCATACACTACACACTCACTGCATCCACTATACTGACACACACTCTGCATTCGCTACACATTAACACACTCTGCATTCACTACACTAACACACACTCTGCATCCGCTACACTAACACACACTCTGCATCCGCCACACACTAACACACTCTCTGCATTCACTACACATTAACACACACTCTGCATTCACTACAAATTTACACACACTCTGCATTCACTACAAATTTACACACACTCTGCATTCACTGCACTAACACACACACTACATTCATTACACTGACACACTCTGCATTCACTACACACTAACACACACTCTGCATTCATTACACACTAACACACACTCTGCATTCATTACACACTAACACACACTCTGCATTCACTAAACTATGCACACACTCTGAATTCACTATACTGACACACACTCTGCATTTACTATACTGACACACACTCTGCATTCACTACACTAACATACACTCTGCATTAACTGTACACACAGCATCCACTACACAAACATCCTGTATTCACAGTACACACACTACATCCACCATAAATTGAAACACTCTGCATTCACTATACACAGACACTGCGTCTTATACACACACTACATCCACTACAGACACTGCATCCACTAAACACATTTCATCTAGTACATAAAAACACTACATCTACTACACAAACACACACTACATCACTGTACACACACTACATCCACTACTCAAATACACTCCGCGTTCACTATACACACTGCATCCGCTACACAAACACACACTCTGCATTCACTGCACAAACAGTATCTAATACACACAAACACTACATCCATTACACACATTCTAATTCACTTCCACTATACACACCACATTCAGTCCTGCATCATTGTGAGCGGACTAGGTAGGGCGTGGGCGGGCCCGGGAGAAGGGAGTGGGGGGGGGGGACCCAGACCTTGTGCTTTGTCAGAGGCCCCAAAATTTTTAATGGCAGCCCTGCTGCAGCTCACCTCCTGGATTCCATCTCTCTGTAGAGGCATGCTTCAAAAGAGCCCTATGATTGCCAGATATCCTGTTTGTCTATACCTAGACAGTTTTTGCTGAGTTTTCATTCTGTCTGCACCACGTTCCTGCCCTAACACAGACTGGTTTTTAATTGCTCACATCGATATATCCGTTACGTTGTTTAAAGTTCCTATCCAGTCCTGACTGGCTGACAACGGTTCACCTACCAACCACACTCCCAGGGACTCCACCTGGTGGATCTTTCTTCCTCTCTCTTTCACTCTTGGCTTCTCTCCCTTTCCCCCATGCTCACTACCTATCCTCATTACTCCATTCTTACCTTGTTGCACAACACGTATACTTACCACAGTCGTAAGTATAGCATGGTAGGCTTGACACCCTGTCTCTTCTTCTCTCTGCATTCTAACGTTATCTTCACAAAGATCACATTTGCTCTTAACAACAGGTCCCTCGATCCTACTACCTTGCCTTTCCCTCCTTATCTTTACTCCACTGTCATAGATACGTTCATTGACAAACCCCTATCCAAGAGAACACAAAGAAATCCTCAAAGACCAACCAAAAAGATGCACCTCAAAAATCCAACACCACCCCTTACTCACTAACAGAGTCAGAGGCAGATTAGGGACCCACTCAAATGGGCTCCACTGCTCAGGGCCAGATTAAGAGCCCAGTGGGCCTGGTGCTGACAATTATGATGGGCCTAATTACATAATCTTATTGACCAAACACACTAAAACAGTCCTACCTCCCAAGCGTCATGTATCTGATGGAGATGGTGCTGTAGGGAAACATACCCTATGTTTATCGCACGCTTTCACCTTTCAAGTAAATCCATACCCTCTAACAGCAGTGTCCAGTAAAGCAGAAAGTCTATGGATGGGGTAAAGGGGTGGGACACTGACACAAATCACATAACCAGAACTGCCGAAAGGGACAAACATACACAAAAAGGGGGCATTTCTGTGTCCCCATGTCTCCCAGTCCCTTAGTGTCTGTGTCCCCATGTATCCCAGTGTCCCCATGTCACTGGGACACTGGGGGACATTGAGAGACATTGGGACACTGAGAGACCTGGGGAAACTGAGAAACTAGGGAACACTGGAAGACCTGTAGACACTGGGTGACTTTGAGACATAGGGCACTGAGACAATGTGATACATAGGGCACACTGTGATATATAGTGAGCACTCAAGACTTGATAAAGACCTGGGTACAGGTGTCCAATAAACCTGCTTAACTCTATCAAAGTGAGTGCCTGAGATTTTTTTCTTTTATACTAGGGGACACTGAGATGCTTGGGGGCACTGTGAAACATGGGGACACTGGGAGACTAGGAATTCTGAGAGACTAGGGACACTGAGACACTACGGACACTGAGAGACACCAGGGACACTGGGAGAGATGGGGCACTGAGGCATCCTGATACATAGGGGACACTGTGATATATAGGGGACACTGGAGACTTGATAAAGACCTGGGTACAGGTCAAAATGTTGCGTTGTCCAATAAACCTGCTTAAATCTATCACAGTGAGTGATTTATTCTTGGGGACATTGAGACACTAGGAGACTAGGGGACTTTGGTAGACTAGGAAACACTGAGACACTAGGGACACTGGCACATTACAGACACTGAGACACCAGGGACTCTAGGAGACATGGGGATACTGAGATATTAGGGATACTGGCTGGGAGACATGGGGATACTGGGAGTGCCCCATGTCTCCCAGGTCTCAAAGTTTCCATGTCTCCCTGTGTCCCCCAGTGTCCCCATGTCTCTCAGTGTCCCCTAGGATAATCTGAAACTGATGTTTGGAAAGGTATGTGCGATCCCCTCACATTCCAAGAGAGGCGCTTAAGGGAGTGTTTGTGGTAGAATGAGATATCAACATTTTAGCCAATACCTCATCGAGGGATGCGGCAAAACATAGCAAAATACATAGGGTAAATCTGTGGAGAGCACTGCAAAACCAGCTAAACAAGGGTCAAACTATGTACAACAGGGGAACTCAAATAAGGATAACAATGCGATCACTGCACTTCACGGGCAATTGTTGGGTTGGCTGAGGGGCCAGGAGAAGCTCTGTCCCAATCTGGCAGGACATCATGTAAAAATTCAGAGGCCTCAGTCACTGAAGTTGTGTTAAGTTTTCTATCAGCAATTTGGAGACGTAGTGTTGCAGGGTAGAGAAGGGCAAAGCGTATGCCCATTCAGTGCAGTGCTGAAATGATGTCCGTGAATGCCTTGCGTAATTGAGTAAACTGTGCGTAATAATATTTCAAAATCAGAATTCTGTTTCCTTGATATGTAGGCATGTCTAGGTTTTTGTAAGCTGTGAGAATTCAAATCGTATCATGGAAATTTTTTTCTATGATAGATCTTGATTGTGTTCTGTTGCCAGAGTTTTCTAGGCCTAATCTGTGAGCATGTTCAATTATGGGAGTAGAG